TCCATGAAAAGTTCCTCAGCTAAGAGGTCATTTGGACTTTTGACTGGCCTTGACGGGGGTTCCTCTATCTCCCAATGTCGTCGAAGGCAAGTTTCAATTGGTTCTGAATTGATGGACAGCAAAGCCGTGATTGGTGCTGATTCTGAGGTTGTCACTGCTGCTATGCGTGTTGCGTCATGTGAGGCGCTAAATTTGCCCGTCATAACCCATCCATAAATGCTGCTTAGCGCTATTGGCCAATTTTCATCGAGAATGATTTTTCTGCCATCATAAATGTGAGGGTACAGGTCGGCTCCAATTAGTAGATCTACCGGGCCTGGTTTCATCCACTCTGGATCCGCCAAAAACAATGTCCTGAGAGGTTTGTTCATTGTGTTGGGAAGACTTATATTTGGCAGATCGGTGGTGATTTTTGTCATTATTGTTGCTGTTGATGTGAACACTGGCTACGATTCAATGCGAGACTTGATCTCACATTCCACAGTACCATGAATATCATTGACTGCTTGATTGCCTAACCCTGAAATTGGAGGCGCTTCTTTGTGGATTTTTAGACCCAATTTGTTTGCACAGCGCTTAGTTATAAATGTAGACATGGCAGCGCTGTCGATGAGTCCTCTGACAGGTTGATAACCGCCAAATGAATCTTTGACTAGAACTAGAGCAGTTCCTAGAATGCATGCGTATTCCTTTGGTTTTGAGTTGGAAACCATAGCTGTTTTGGGAGATTTTGATGAATCTTGAGTTGACGTGTCTTCTAAGTGTAGAAGTGAATTATGCCTTTTATGACATGTTTTGCAGGTGTATTGGTTCTTACAAACCGAACTGGAGTGATTGAATTTCATGCAGTTGAAACACAGGTTTTTCTCTTTGACGAATGATCGGCGTTCAGGGATTGATTTAGCTAAAAATGATTCGCAAAAATAAATGGGATGGTCTTGAGTGCAGCATGGACATTTTTGTTGAGACGAACTCTGTTTCGGCTTAACTGAGGCCGTGAGCGTCTGCTTTGATGGTGGTTGCTTGTGTTTCGGGTTAGTTGACTTGGCTGCCGAACCATCTAATTGAAGGCACTCTTTTTCGAGGAAATCCACTAGGCTATCGATGGTGGGATATTTCGTTTCCGTGCCTCGAAAATCATCAAACCGTTTTCGAAAGTAATTATTTAACTTTTGTACCATGACTGCAGTGAGCATTGAAGAGTACTCGGACAGTTTGTGATCGAGGCCCTCCAATGCCTGGGTGTGCTCCCTGTATTTTGTCAGAAGTGCAGGAATTTGCTGGACATCCTTCACTTCTGGCAAGTCAAGCAACCCGTTGAAGTGATGAAAAATATGCCTTCTTTCACATTGAAAGCGCTGACATAATATTTCCCAAGCCACATCGTAATTTGAGTCGGTGATGTCTAACCCTTTTACCAAGTCCAGTGCCTCGCCCTTCAATGACGTGAGAAGGTACTGGAACTTTTTAACTTTCGCTAACTCATTTACATTATGGACAGAGACCATGAATAAATTATAAAAACTTCTCCAATCCTCTAATTTTCCAGTGAATTGAGGTAATTCAAGTTTTGGAAGTCGAACATTTGAGGATGAATGACTTTTAACATGAGTACTATGATAATTGGATACCTCAATTTTCGATGTTTTAGGAGTGAGCGAAAGAAAACGGACTTCGGCTGCAAGTATTGTCTCGTCAAATTCTACCTGCGCCTGTTCAATGTCTATTTTGGAATTAATAGGTAAATCAGAATTGAGACCTATTAATTCTGCTTGAA